TGATATGTTGTTACTTCTTTTTCTACACAAACACAAAAGCAACATATTTTTCGGACTGTGGCTCTAATAATTCGATCATCCACTGTATCGTAGATACAATACTTTCGTCTGCATTTTCCTTTTTTCTGACAGGAATATTATAGAGGAAGTGCAGTAGATACACTAAATGATTTACCTTAAAAATTTAATATATTTTAACCATGATTACAACGATTGAATACTTGTTGAAAAACTTTTGCGAATTAAAGTTTAACTCTACAGATAGGTAGTCGAAAATATCGGAATTACGGTTTGCCCACAAATGTCATTTGTTAAAAGGTCATTCGTCCCTATTATTTACGGTATTACAAATGAAATAATATTAGTAGTTTTGTAGATTTCAGTATCCAAAATTACAAACAGTATTCCAAATACGTTGCACATCCTCTATGTACAATTAGATCGTCAATAGAATTAGTATTGGTGAAACAGAGAAATATAATTCTCTGCCTATTCTTTGATATTTGGTGTTGAATAATTTGCAAAGCTGCATGAAACCGTTGTATTATTAAATGTCTCGTTGAACAGGTGACATTTTCACCACACGATAATATGGAAAGCATACACGGGTGAAAGGATCGTCGAGTGTAGACAATTGAATTATTATATTAAAATATCACCGGATAATTGAAATGTTTGCGATGCACTGTTAATTGGGCGTGATCAAGGCGAATTCAGCGCGGTTTTTGCGCTCGACGGAATCTCAAAAGCTCGAACAAGAATTTAGAGGTCGACGGTGGTCAATAACCGACCTTCGAAGCCGCGTCGAAGCCCGAACACGACTTACAAAACATTTAAAAATAACCCGCGCTGCGCAGCTCTCGACCCGGAAACCTTGAGATCTTTAACTCGCCGCGAAGCCGACGGATTTTCGATCGACTCTGAGTGCATCACTCAAACTTGCCTAATTTACCACATGTTACTCGTTCTTGTTCCGAAATTATCATGTGGAATCGTTATTTCGTTGCTTACACTGACACGAAAGGGAAAACTGAAATTGATCTTTTTATATTATTCGTATAAAAATCATTAATGCATTGATTTTTACCAACCTTGATATTTAAGAAACTTTTCGATAATATTGTTTTCACTGATCTCCAATAGTTTGCGCCATCTTGGTTGAGTAGAAGGTCGGAAACACATATTGAATTTAACACTAGAACTACCAAACTCGCGAAAATGACGGATTACAGATTTCTTATTGTACTAGATATTTTTTTATTGAATAATAACAATTCATTCACGTACTAATGTATCTACAATGCAAGGAAATAATTATATTCGGGAGATTGATGATTTTTGATATTTTTCTGACAGCATTTAGCTGAAATTCTATTTAAGCACGTGCAGGTTGTTCATTAATTAAATTTAATATCGTGTAGGACAGTTACACGAATAATTAACTGTCGTGAGCACATCATTTCGACGGCACAATTGGTCGGTTCACGATGTCCATGGCGTGGAATATCTGCTAGTGAAATAAATGACGCGTGTCGGACCCTCTCGGTCTGATCATATTCGGCGCTGTGTCTGTTTCTACTTACGCGTCTGACCGCGTAATTTCAAATGAAACCGAGCGTTCCCATTTAGTCTATGAAAAAAGATTTCTACATTTAGGATATGAAAAAAAGGTTTTAATACTAAATTTCTTTTCATTCAATTTATTAATAAAATTTTTTAAAATTTCACATTAAAAAGGACCGTATATTACAATCCAGCGGTAGACGAATATTATTTTTCGTTTCGATATAACGTTCGTCCAATTTCGTTTAGGAACTAGGAAAGCAACAGTGTCTTTTTCGTATCGCATCATCGTTACCACTACAGACAAATTGGTGTCTCTAAACTGAGTCAAAACATTGTCATGACGCTTAGCCACGCATTGAGTCACACCTCGGTTACGTAACTATCCTAGTGATATTTTCGGTAACGCTATGATTCGGGGAAACACAGGAAAATCTCTATTAGCCGGCTAAATATACGCGGGCACGTGACACAAAAGTATCCGTCGATGACTAAAATAATGTACAGGGTGTTAATAAAAATGTGGGACCCCTTTCACAGGGTGGATTCTACAAGCCAAACAAAGACGAAAAATAAGAATGTCGAAATTGCTTTCGAGTTAATCCTTTGCCTTACAACATCAAGTCAGACACGTGATAACGATTTCAAACTGAACATAGTAAACATGTGTATTATTCGTTTTCTTTCAATCGACGTGAAATACTGTTTAAGGTTTAGAATAAATGTAACACTTGTCATAAGAATAGCATTCTTTTTGTATCTGGGAAAATATTAATGATAAAGTAATTCTTGAAAGTGATGTAAAAAAAATCGTATGGCAAGGGGTCAATACCTTGTATTTCTTCGGCCTCTCTCGTGTTTCATTCTCCTCGTTCGGTTTCATGTACACCGTTTGAATTAAAGAACGCGATCGAGTTATTTGCTGGGGTCTCAGGTGGATACTTACGAGAGTTTGTTTCGCTCGTTCCAAGGTGACCCAGGAACTCGAACCGTTCGAGGGTACGATGAAAAACGAACAAAGAGGCGGCGGAGCGCGCTCATGCAAAGAAACATTACGGGAGTTGCTGGGATGGTTTCCCGTTAATTGAACGTAAATCATGGTACTAATTGATTTTTCATTGGCCGGTAGTCATGGCTCGATCGTCGGTAATTAATCTACCCTTTGAGCGACCAAGGGGAGACGAAGAGGCACTTTCGGTTCGGGTACGGAAAACGTTGTATAATTATTGGAAAATTTGGTTCCATCGCGGAACCAATTTTAATTTGCGGTTTTTATTTAAATGTTTTATGCACTGCACACCGTTCCGCCATATTGGATTTTATAACCTAAAATACTTTGTAGCTCGTTAGCGACACTTTCTCGTTGTTGAGTGTAAATTATTCTGAATTGTGAAATTTAGAGACAAGTAAGCTTAATAAATTATAATGATTTGTTTCGTATAATAATTTTGTTAAGCTTATCAACAGAGTTGGGTGACCGGAAATTCTAAAAGATTTTTGTATTCCCATTGCAAATGCCAACAAATATTGTAGTGACTTAATTTTCACACTTTGTGCAGTACTGTAGAGAATATAATAAAAAGAATATCTTTAGATATTTCTACTAATTACACAGTTGTAGAACACGGCGATTTCAAAGAGATTCAGAGTCCAATTACAGGGGGTATATCGTAGCTACAGTACGAGAAAATATGGTACATTTATGTTTGTGCAGAAATAAAATTAAAATATTAAGGTTTTGTGCACAGAATAATTTGTAATTAGCAATTCTTCACTAAAAATACACAAAGAATTTAAACTTAGCTTGTGTAATCATAAAAAAATACAGTTAAAATCATAAAATCGTCGAGATGAGTCCAATAATTTCATTATCCACCATATAACACGAATGGTGATTGATTATTTATTTTCCTACCAGTCAAATACAGTATAATTTTTAATTTCAACGAAAAAATTCTTTAATCTATGTGTATATGTATACCCCCGTCTAATACCATCTTGCGTCTTGTTACGCACGCGTGAAGAGCCTCTCCTCGTCTCTTTCGTTCCATTTGCCAACTGGCCGAACCGCCTGTCTCTGTTCTATGCCAGAGATCGCGTGCTGTTCAGACGCAGTCCGCGTAGTCAATCAAAAAGGGACGCTCCTCTAGTTTTAGACCGGCGGAAATCGACCGCGAAATTTAAGGATTTTACGATCGAGCGCGTTTTACCGAGCCCTGGGATACGTACACTCCTGCTCGTAAGTATTGGTACGCTTATCGAGTGTGCAGTAAATGATACAGGGCATTGCAAAATTGCTGAACGTCTAAAACGAATATCGTTTAGAGGATGTTAAACCTCGATGGACAATATTTGCGCTACTACAGTGATTCCTCGATAAATGCGACACGAGCAACAGCGTTATTCCCACCACTGGGGGAGCTCCCTTGAAAAACCAATCAAAACAGAGTAAACAGAAGCTAAGCAAAGGCACGGCTTTAATAATTCGAAAACGAAGCCACGAACGCAATTTCGTCATTCTTGATTTTCGTCTTAATTTTGCATGTAGAATGTGAAAGTGTCCCATATTTTTACCAACTCCTCGTATAATTATTAGTAATAACTATAGACTGCGGATTTTTATGCAAAATGATATTTTATGAAGTAATTTATTGAAACAGGAGCAATTGTAGGAACTTTACTGGATTTCGCAGAGCCCTATAGGCTATAAATGCATAAAATTCGCAGGCGAATTATTACGATATAACTTATTAATTATTTTGTTCATTCCGACCAAGTGTTTTTATACTTATGAGTGGTACTGTACGTGGCCCTCGGCCGATTAGCGAACAGAGCCGGGCATATTCGTCCCGGAAACATATTCCTGATCCGGGAACTCTACCTTTTTTTCGCTCGAGATTTATGACGGGGCACTCTCCGGTTTTACGGTTAATGTATCCATCAGGGAAGTTCCGTTGTTACAGGCGAGCCGAGAGTTACTTGAACGAAGCCATTAAAATTGTTTACGGACTCGGTGTGTAATACGGACACGCGTTTCCAGCAATCGCGACAGTTCTAGAATATGGAGCTGAAATTGTAGAACATTTTAGTCCCAGGATGTTCCCGTAGATTTCAGTACAGTTACTACAATTCATGTGTTTACAGTCTGGTGTTCACTGAAAGTTTTCGTTTAACTGGATGGCCATTATATCGATGGATATTACCAGAAGGGTTAAATAACTTCTTTTACATGTATGGTGTTAGTAAGGTTTCAGCTTGTAACTTGTAAAATTTTAAAAACTGTTTGTGCAACAGAGGTCCACAAGTTATAACTTCGTTAATTCGTTAATATCATTAGTTGGTAAATTATCGTGTAAAATGTCCCAGTTGTGACCAGGTGTAATCACCCATCGAGTCATTTTTCTGACATTTTCGTTCCTCTTTCTTTTTTCCAGAAAATGTCGTCGCTGCGAACGCAATCGACCGGCGGCGGTGTCGTTGGTTTGAGCAGCGTCGGTTCCGATCGGACCGGCGCCACCTCGACCGCTGGCGGTTCTCATTCCCACTCGCACCGGAAGCACCATCATCATCACAGAAGCCGTAGCGCGCCGCGGGCGCCAGAGAAACCCCCGCGGAAGCGTCACCTCAACACCGGGCACAGCCTCGCCTCCATTCCCAGCCAGATTAAGCTGTCGATGCTGAACAGCGGTCTCATCTCGTTTGGTGAGTTCTGTTTTTGCTCTATCACAGATGGGATATAAGGATAGATCTAACATGCAATGTAGCAATGTAATTTTCTGTCCCATGCTTCGGGGCGTCAGAAGCCCCCTTGCCATTTCAGTATTCCATTACTTGCTAACGAAAGCGGGGCAATAATGCATGTACACCTCCGGTCAAAAGTATGTGGACACCCTTTACAACGGAACAATGTTTTTAAAATTGCTCCAAATGACTTAAGTTCTTTTGTGAAGTTGGTTACAGTTTCGTTATGCTTACAAACGTGTTTGAAGAAATTGGAGTACGAGTGAATGAAAGGAACTAGGGGGCTGTATCTAATTGGGTTGTAGAAACAGGAATCAGATTCAGTCGAAAGGGGTACCATATATGTTGATTCCCATGGTTAGTTCGTTTTGCAATTTCATTTAAAGTCGAAAATTTGAATCGAAAATATTCAGTCAGAAAAGGTGTAGCAGACGGTGGAATCTCGTTATCAGTGTTCGGTAGAGTGAAATTAATAAGAGTCACGAGATTCTGGATTCGTTCGCTGCTACCGTTTGAAATTTTATTACATTCGTCGGTTTCACTTCCTAACGAAGAGTGGAGTAACCATCTGTCGGAGCCTCTGACGGGTTGCCTTTAATTCGTTTCAATTTAATTGCATCGTAAGATACCCACTCCGAAACTTTTCTCTAATTTCCTATTCCTCCTCGAGCGGTTGGCTGACGTCTTGTTGTAAAACGAGCACGGGGAGTTTACGACGCGTTTACCCTGAACCCTCGTCCGGGATTATGAAATAATCCGTCGAGCAGAGCGCGGTATAACGCCACTTTGCAGCAATAAAAGCCACTCTGTGCGACGGGCAAATATATTATATGCAATAATGTTCGAGCAGGGGCGAACTCGCGGGGAAGAAATTGCTTGACGTGCCTCGGGAAGCGCTGGGAGGCACTCGCCTATGAATTTTGAGGCGGGAGGATCTCCAGCAGGAACTGTTAGGTTGAGCAACACTGGAAAATCGCTGATTGAAGCTCTGGAAAGACTCACTGATCAAATCTGTGAAATAGGAAGTGGAAGAATTTGATAGGGTTATGAAAATTCTGTTTTAACGTGTTAATGATGAATTGAAGTCTGGTGAAGTCGGTGGGGTATAGAATTTATGTTTGCCTAGATTTTCTGTATGTAAAGGTAAATGTTATGTATTATTTTACTTTTGTTATACATAAATTATTGTGCCGAGGATATATTATCTAAAATACATAACGTAATTCTTATGAGAAACGTTTATATTGGGAAATACCGGTTAATAGAGGCAGTTTATTTGGGACAAAGCTCACAGAACACAACCTAATCGAATGTACTGTAATACTTCGCATAATTGGGACAGCCGCTTAATCGGGTCAAAGGACGCTAGTCCCGGTGTCCTAAATAACTGGAATCTACTGTATTACACTAGAATTACTAAGACAGTTAAAATGACCGGTTAGTCATTTAAGAAATCTATATCCTTTCCGAACAAAATGGCGGAACGCTCGATGCCCCAATTTCGAAGGAGCATAGTAAAAGTAGTCGCAGATTGCCACGATTGTTCCAACAACGAATAGGGACATATTCATGAAGAATTCATTTGAATTAAACTCGAATTTAATTGAAAATTACCGCGGCGCGTTGGTTGCCGCGGAAAGTATCCACGTAGGGTGCAGAAAAAAAAGATGAAGAGAAACGTAAAATTTGCATTTAATAAGTCCGATTGGCCATCGGGGAGTTTCCTACCGTTCGCAATGGGGAAAGAGACAGCAGAGGCACCGTGGAGTTCCGAGAGGACTTTTTCTTCTCTTGTTCGTTATAGCATCAGCGCGCTGGATAAAGGGGGATCCGTAACTTGATTCGATCAAGCACAGCATTTCTGGCGAGGCTTTCCGAAGCGTTTTAGATGCTTTTAGCCGGGACTCCCGGTGTCCTCCGCAGCTTTTCCCGTGTCATTTCGTACAATATTTCTAGCTTGTCACGCGAACATGCAACGGGGAACGAAAATCTGTGGAGAAATCTCGATGCAAGTCGTCCATTTTTCAATATTAAGCCGATTCTCGAATAGATCTTGCGGGCTTAACACTGGAACTACCGGGGATGAACGTGTTTCTATTTCTATCGTGACGATAAAGAGGGCAGAGCTTGTTGAAAATATGCGAATCGATAAATTATCCAACGTTTTCACTTGTATATTGCAATAAAAGCTGTCAAGGATCTTAAAAAATACACTGGTATGACATTTTAATCATTTTTATGAGAGTTTACGAACCAGTTATTTTGACTGTTTTTGTAGTTCTAGTGTTACATTCATATCGATCGAATTCCCCATTATTATTTTTGACGTTCATATTGCACTTACATTTCACAACATAAATTTTTAAATGTCAGATTTTTTAAATTCGAGAATTTTTAAATTAGAGTCCCAGTATAGTAATTAAATTTTTTGTACATAAATCATTATACGTTATGTTTAGAACAATTTCGGTCGTGCGATCGTCGTGGTTCGAGGTTGGAAAGTAGCCTCTTTCACTTACGATCCATTGATCCGAGGCGCTCGATCGGCGAGCATTAAAACGGTGGATCAACGCGCGGATTTGCGAGGCGGGATCGGTCGTTGCGGAAGCACGCTAAAGGGCGGAGACTTTTGAAACCTCGCTGATTAAGCTTGCAGCTTTTTGGCACAACCGAAGCAAAAGTGATAAAGCACGGTGCCTTATGACGCCGCTTAACTGTTCCGGCCGACTGATCCCGAAATTCCGCTTATCCTACGCTCGACTTTCCACTGTTTACTTGCACCGTTCCGTTCCCGCGATAATTCCATTTACCTTCGAGAGTTAGCGAATCTGCGATGTTTCCCGTAAAAAATGCTGGTCGCTACGTTGGTGGAAAAAAGGGGACGTAAAAAATGGAGGGTTTCTTTTTTTTCGGGGGTATTCTCGGTCGAGCTGTTAACACGTTTTGAATGCTACAGTTTTTTTGTTTACTCTTGGAATGGTATCCGTGATAAAATATTCTTAAGAGTTCTACAGAAAAATTAATGATAAAATATAATTAATGATGAAAGTTATTCAATTCGGTAAATAGCAGCAGAAATGGTTGTCTTGTTTATTGAAAAATAGTATCATTTTAATATCGACAATGTAAATACAGGGTGAGTCAATCAAAATCTTATAGGGAGAAATGCTTCGGACCCTTGTAAATTCGTTTTTTTTTGCCCGAAGCTCAAGTCTCGGCAATACAAGGAGAGGGGCAACAATGTATGCACTTGACAGGTTCCACGCCCCCCCCCCCAGTGGTGGGGATAACGCCTGGACAATAATCGTGTAGAACAAACGAGACAATAATGGAAAGGAGTCTGTACGTAGCTATCAGTCATTCTGTTACCTGTTACTTGTATTTTGTGTTGAATTTTATTTCGATACATTGAACTTATTCGTAATGTATTATGACTTGAACCAAAGATTCACAGACATCTCAGTATTACAGTAAAAATTATTCAGAAAATATTTTACGGTTCCAAAAGATTCAAGCCTGAAGAAACGAAACAGAATTATCTGAACCTGTTAAAATATGATTGTTTCGTTCCGTCACTCTGTTGAATTATTGATCATCGCATTCTACGCTCGTATCAGCAACCACGCGGCTCGTTTCCGACACGTCCTCCAGCTCTCGAATGCTTTGTAATATCATATTTCATTGGACCCGGTGCATACGTACCGTTCAGTATGCATTACGTAGTTACCTGGTTCTTGTGCCAGACAGCTGTGGATACAAACGCATTTAGCACGGTAACTTTCTAACGAAAAGTTTGAATTTCCTGTGACTGACTGGGTTGACAGATGTATGTACACACGTGCATATCGTTAGGATTAAAACTATTGTATAATACCGATGTTATCTTATTAGAAAATACTGTGTGATAAATAGATCCCATAAGATAAATAGGTTCAATGAAACATAAGGGTAACGGTGTAATAAAGTGCTGCACTACCGATTATTTCCTCATTATTTCGAAGTTTCGTTGGCGTTGCCATCAATTCTGATACACCAAAGACAAGCAATCCTTGGGGGAGCATTTGGAAATTGTACTTCGTTCGAGTGCACTATAAAAGTTCGATTATCCGTCATGCTTTCAGTCACGTGCTCTGATGGATAATCGAAGTTTCACGGTATACTTGAACGGAATACCGTTTGTAAATTCAACAACGAGGATCGCTGCTGTCAGAGTATTAAAGATCATACAACCTGAACGAAACTGTGAAATAATGAGAAAATAATTGGATGGTTTTTATAGAACTACAGTGGTTAAAAGAAGTATACATACACTAGGTCTCCACACAATAAAAATGCATCGAGCATAAAATTAAAAAAAAAACACGTTCTTCGAAAGCTTACACGTGAAGCTAAAGTACGATAACATAAATTTTTATGAAATATTCCAAGAATATGTAAAATTATCTTTAAAAAAATAGGCCTGTATCAATGCCCATTTATCTAGTGTACAAACATACAATAGATCCTGTATTTTGTCATATGAATCACCAGAACTGTCCAGACGGTTATCAGATAATATTGGACAATAGTGTGACATATAATCGATATTATTCTACCCGTAACAGTTAGTCGAGCTGTTCATTTCGAAAGTGGTGTAAGTCCATTTCCTCTTGTTTCGTTATTTGCAATTTATACGTATTTGTTTATAACCGTAGCAACCGTGTTATCGATTTTCTCCTTTAAAGTCTACAAAAATGATCGAATACAATCTCCTTAAACATGTCTGAAGATTAAATATTACAAAATTTATATACACCCTCTGATTTTACAATATCAAACACCAAGACTTGAAATTCTACCAATTAAACACAGAAATATGTAAAAAGAAACCTAATGATATTTTGAAAGAATTACGAAAGATGATTCCATTTATTTATAAAACGCGGTTGACGCAATTTACGGGAATCGCTTATCGTGGAATA